TTCTTTGAAACGGTCAATTTGCTGCTTAAGCTCCAATTTTGCTGGAGTACCTCAGTTTGGTTTAAAACCGGGCCATTTTTACAAGGTTCAGCATCTCAGCTGTGATTTCGCCTCGAAGAGAAACGATGAGTAGAAGCCTCATTGGTCAGAGGGTCACACTCGAAGTCAAAAAATCGCGGATCTGACACCTGCAGGCACACCAATCCTTAATCCTACCGAAATTGCCCAGAAATAGTTGTTAGGCAAGTTTCCATGAGACCATACATGAAAACGTTGGTACTGGTATTTTTCTTATAAAAAAATATCTCAATCATCGCTATTGACGTCGTAACAGAGACAACGCAATCCCCATGAAAACCTCACTCTAAAAGTGCACTTGAAACCTGCATTCCAAACGCCATTAACCTTCTTTGTGTACAAACGGCTGTTAAACATCCCGTCACAAAGTGCCCGTCACGATAGAGGATTCCAATCTAGGCGAAATATGATCGAGAATGCTTAGGAGTCAATGAGGTAGACGTAAGGGTTTTTCATAGTCACTGAAACAATTCGCTGACAATACCCTGATAATCGAAGTTAAGGGGCCTCTTGCCCCCATCATTAAGGCAGTTCTGTCTGAGAAATGGATGTTCCAGTTACGAACCCAAGCGCAAAGGTTTCGTGCCATCATTCGCATTAACTCTTTATCTCAAATTTCTCACCACGTTCCCTACCCTTTCAAATGGAAGATGGAAATTGAGGTAAAGAAAAACATTCGAAGAACCGGAGGATGCCTGAGAGAAAACCTTTGGGGGCCATTAAGATAATCTACACCTGCTGCATCCGGTATTAAAAAATTGCTTTAATCTGTACATTCATTGCTGTCCTTTTCAATATAGAATGTCGTATGTGTTTGCGATTCTTGAGCGTCAAAAACAGTGCTGCCCTCGTTTCTGTGCTTCCGTTACACAACGGTTTTTGTCAGTGAAATCAACGATGCACAGGGAGAAGCAGGCTGCGTTTTCGAATGGGCCTTGTCCACTCTCGGCGCCACATTGCGTACTTCTGCAAATGCAAGAATGTGAGCTTCGAGGTCTCTGTACCAGGATTTTGCCGGTTTATTTCAAGGAGTCTCAATCCATGTAGCAAATCCTCACCAGGTGCCCACCACTCCTCCGTTAGTAAGGTACGGCAGTCGTTCGAAAAGAAACTTCGTGATCAGTTTTGCGTTCTATTTTTTTTCGCCTCGTCCTCGCCCATGTCTCATCCATATTGCAGCATATTATGCATTTGCATCTTTTTTAAATATTTTTTAATCACTTTTATGTGTTTCTGGGCAGATTAGCATTGTCTCATGAGAATAACGCAAGCCTCGAAACGATCTACCGTTTATTATTTTCCCACGTCCATTTCATTAGCAATTAACCCTCGTCGTCAATATTTCTTTAAGATCTTCAAACTAGTATAGATACTGAAAGCGCAGTTAAAACTAGGTTTCGCAAAGTTTATGAGAAGAGAATATGCTCAGGGACTATCTACTGACGGAAAGTCAAGTTTGCTACGTGTGCTTCTTAAACGATACGTCGAAATTACAAGTTCGTGCATCAGATTTGAAGGGAGAAAATGAGACCTTCTTGGAGGAAGTTGGAGGTGCTCTGTACGAAGTGCCATGGTTCAGATTGGCGATTTCATTGCGCAAGTCAGACCAGGCACTGAAAAGTGGAAAGCGTGATTCGAGAGAACGTCCCTAGCGACCTCATCAGTAACATCATGAAGTTATTGCGGTTTTATTCAAACGACGGACTGTTCATTATGAACACCTTTTTCGATCATTCAAGGGTACATCAGTATAACTGGTGTAAGGAAGCTTGTGCGCAGAAGTCGATGATCGATTTGATGATCGTATTGGTTGACTAACGACACCCTGTAATGTATGTTCGAGTTAAGAGAGACGCAGAGCTGTCAACCGATCAACACGCTGTTGCCCGCATCCTTCGTAGTAAACGATGGAAGACCATGGGAAGATCTGGTGGCACAAGGCAGAAGCAACAGGAAAATCAAAAGCTCAAACATCATCCTCTACGGATGCGAGGGCAAACCTTGCAAGCATCGCACGACGGTATCCATTGATTTTAGTGTGACCTTTGATGTGGAAACTGAGTGGAAACCGCTAATTAAGGGCGGCTTACTAAACTCAACCGTTTAAAGCGGGTCGGCCTGCTCCCATACATCAGAAAAGAACTTCCTGGTGGACAAAAGAAGTTCATCAAGAAGAAGACCACATTCATGATATGGCTTGCAAGCAAAGACCCTCCAACTAAAATGCAGTAACAAGAACGGCTCAAGGCAGCAGCAAACGCTAGTTCCTGGGCAAAGCTCGTTCAGATGTTGGAGTCGAATTTCCTGACGTCAAACAAGGTATCCTGGAAGACTGTTTGCTATGGAAGGAGCGACAGTCTAAAAGTATTGAAGGACAATCCGGACATCCTGTTACCAAGACTGAGGAGATATCTCAACAAGCGAAACAATACTCTGAGGAACTCCTCAACCCTGAAAAACTGCACAGGAACTCGCGAGAAGAACAACAGGTAACAAATATTAATCTTTCAATAGATGAAAAGTAAAAAGTAAAAACGGTGGCCTTTGGCATCGATGAAATCCACAGTGAAATGCTAATAATTCTAGGTAAACACGAAATGCTCTTGCTAAACATGTATTTGGAATTGCATTAGCTACGGGACAGAGAGTGGACTAGAAAACGGGAGGTGAATATACCTCTGTTCGAAACGGGAAATCATAGGGAGTACTCAAATTATCCGGGTATTACCATATTAGACATCCTGGTAAAAGTCTTCGTTCAGGTGCTAAGAAAGATGAGTCCCAAAATA